TTGCATCAGCTCCCTGGCCCTTTTAGGCTCTTGGATTTTTAACCCCCCCCGGCCCCCCAACTCTAATTCATTCTGAGTCCTGTCTGGCCAGACTTGCTGCCAGGAAACAGGCCCTTGGATTCAATTTTGTGCTAAACCAGAGGTTGCAAACTGTGAACCTTTTTCTGCACAGAGATGTATTTGTCTGGTCTGCATTAAGCTCTGAATCAACTGACATCACTTACAACTAGACAGATGTTATAAGATTCAGAAGCTTTAGCCACACTTGTGCTTTAGCTGACTATCGGATGTCCCTTTTCAGATGGGGCATTTCCTTGCCAGCTGGCCTATTGGACTGCTTGCGCTCATTTGCATCAGCTCCCTGGCCCTTTTAGGCTCTTGGATTTTTAACCCTTGCTTTAAGGGAACACGTGCCTCTGGTCCTGAGACCTGGCCCCTGCCTGCCCCTCCAAAAATAGGTGGTCAACTCTTGTCTAAAGGCCCATGTGGTTTCCCATATCAGGTTGCTGCTTTTATTAACAGCTGGAAACAGAAAATTAAATACTACTTTGTCTAAAGCAGATGGTGGGCTTTTTTGTCTTCTTTATACAGGGGGCTTTGTGCAAAGTTTCACTACAGATGCATACTTTCAAATTATTGCTGTTCTATTGAACGGTGGCTCCGTCAGGGCACAGGCATCCTTGCCTGAATTCACTGCCAATTGTAGTAACTTCATTGGAAGTGAAAGTGTATGGAGAAAAGAGAGTCAGGGAAAAGTTATTTCTTCTAATTTCCAATAGCAGTGGAATTTTTCCTTGCTTCTATAATAAATGGAAACAAAGAACATGGAACAGAACTGATATCATTTGCATCTGACTGATGTTTTTGAAAAAAGCTGGTTAAGTTTTAGGTTGTCCTTGGGATGGAAGAATCGCTTTTGCATTCAAGCCTGGTACGCTTGGGACTGTAGAGAGTGAGCGTGAGTTGACTAGCCATGTGCGTGGTTTTCTACAATTTAGCTTGACTGCTGTGAAGTTATGTGTCGAACAAGGCAGCTACGATAGGAAATGTACGGGTGTCTCCCCGGAATCTCTTATTCATGTCCAGAGTTGACTGTGATTTAGGATGTCACAGATTGTGTCCAAGAAGTTGAATTACCCAAGAGACCACCACATTCTCTGTTTATACCTACACTGTGGTCCTTTATTCCAGAGTCCTGAAGACCAGTATTTCAACTGGTCTCTCTCAGCTTTCAGTCTCTACTCTCAGCTTTCAGTCTCTGGGGAAAAAAGAGCCACAGAATAAGGGACACAAAGATGACCCAAGTCACAGGCAGTAGGAGTTTGTGTGGCATATTAAACCAAATTTGGAATCCCTTCTTCTCCCACATTCCCTCCAGAATCACAGTGGAATTTGAATTCACACAGCTTTACCTCCCTTGTCAGATTCAGGTAATGCCACTCAGATTTCTTATTTTCCTTGCTCAGGACCTGTACAGGAAGCTTGGGGCTGCTTGGGAGAGACATATTCCTATTAACAGGGTAGCTGGATTATTTGGCTCTTAGCAGATTTCAGAAAATGAGGCTAAGTTGTCCTTATTCATGTGCAACTTTTCAACAAGTCCAAACAGTTAACAACACAAAGTTACTGCCTACTGTTCTGAAAGCCTTGTCAGAGAGGTTCTCTCCCTGGCGTATTTAATTTGTGCCATTTACGTTTTGTTGTCATTTTCCTGTTTTTTTTTTTCCCCTCCTTCTTTTTTTTTTTCTTTTTCTTTTTTTTTTTTTAATGAAACATCCCTGAGTGGTTACAGTGCAATATCTGTGCCAAGCAGTGATTGTCATTTACGAAGCAAGAAGTGAAACGTACAGATCATGGGTTCTTTCTTCCAGTGCCCGTTTTACCATGAAGGTGTGGTGAACATTTGGGAGTCTTCGTAGGGAAGGGACAGAGATTGCATGTGGTAAGGAAAGGCGATCTTAGCAAAATTTCAAAACACCTCGAGATGTAGTCACAGGAGATGTTCAAAAAGGCAGCTTTTCAAGGCGTTTGTCGCTACCACTGAAAATGTGATTGGTGGTCTTTTAACGGACAGATTTGGCAACTGTGGCGAAAGATGGAAATCTCTTTTCTCAATCGAAGTGGGCTGAGCGTGTACTCGTTTCCACTGTTTTGTTCTGGTTCAGTCGCTAGCTGTTTCCTGTCCCCTAGCTTCAAAAGGTTCATGCGGTCCCAGTGAAATGCTTGCACTAGTAGAAACGACAAACACATTCAAATCGAGTACCTCCTGAGGCAAATGTGGGGAGCAATCCTTTTCCTACATCACCCATGGGGCAGGGAGGAAAAAATTCTCAGCCACTTCATCAACAGAACCAATTTAAACCCTCTAAGGTAAATTGGAGGAAACAAACGATTCCCCTTGCAACTGAGCGGGAATTACAGGCGGACGATGGAAAACACTAGGCCAACAGAACAATGAAAACAAACTTTGACATAAGTTCAAAGCTCAAAGGGAAACACCAAGCAGACATGTTGAGCATTGCCTATCACAAGCCAATCATAAAACATACATTGCATTTGGAAACGGCTTGGTTTAATTGAGCGCCTTCCATTACCCTGTTTTCCTAGCAATCAGTAAAGTAATCTTTCCATTAGAAGGAAATATGACTCTTGGAATTAATTCTTTATACAAAGAGCTAGCAGGAGTGACATTTACACCAAAAAGAACGGAGTCTCTACAGCCACATAATAAGCAGTCTGCAGCTGTCTTCTTAGACACCGAAGGTAATTTGGTTCAATGTAGTTAAATTAATTGAATATAACAGTAGTTGAGAAAGAGAGTCATTATTTTAAAGCCTTTTTGTTTTTCCCCATTGGTTTAGCATTCATCAATCATGCAGTGGGAAAAGGCTCTGTTTTCTAGAGAAAAGACTAGCACTACTGTCTGATCATCAACGAGGGGTTTTGTGGCCTTGCGGAGACAGCTCTCAAGACCACGTAACTTCAGGAGAGCGTCAGAGATTAAAAGGAAATCAAGGTTTCCACCGATGGAAACTTTACCGAGCAGGTGTGCGTGTGTGTTTGACGAGGAGAAAAGGGCGGGTCCTCGGGAGCTGGCTGCTGGGCTTTACTCACAGGAGAGCTTGAATGTCACTGAGTTACATGAGGCTCTGCTCCGGCTTCCTTTTTAAAAACTCTTAATTTTGGATCGGCTGAGACCAAAGGCATAGGGCCTCTGGAGCACGGGCAGAACAAGCTGCTTGGGATTCATGCTTTTCTGGTATTCAGTTTGCTTGGGGAGCAGGTGGAGAGGTGAGACTTATACTAGGAAGTCTTAATACTCCAAGCCTCATATCCCCCTCTTGTATTCTGTGTTTTTGACAAGTTGCTAAAAGAAAGAATCCCAGGCCAGACGGATGATCTAATTGCAAACTGCATAGGAAATAGTTTGGGCTTTGGGGTGTATTAGTTCTACGGAATAAGTCCGATGTGTTTTCGTTATCTGTCAAGTTCTTGCTCTGTGTTTATAGTACAGCACTTTGGAGTTGAGAGAAATGAGGGGACCCCCCTCCCCACTAGAAGGACATATCAAATCCTGCCTCCCCTTTTATTGCTGCTTTTTCTAACAAATGTAGCAAAGAGAGTGAATATAAAGAACCAAGCTCTTTCTACCTCTTCGTTGCCAAAAAAAGCCCCCCAAAACAAAACAAAAAACCCTCAAAAAACAAAAAACATCAAACCCAGACACAACAGGTTAGAGAAAAAATGTCTACATGAAATGGCATCGGGGCCCTGGGTTCTGGTTTCCTCTGTGACTCTAATTTTATTAGAAAAAAATTGCTGGTGGTCAAACCTACAGACTGCATTTCTCTGGTGACAACACAGTGAGCACCAAAATCAGTTTCTTTACCCACCTGAAATCCAAAGGAAAAAAAAAAAAAGTGTTTTATGTGTCCTGGTGAAAAATAGGAAATAGTGATTGGTCAAAAAAGTCCTGGACTCCACAACGTTATCTGTGGCCGAATTCTTAAAACAGGAAAATGGCTCCAAATATTCCCCCGGGGGCCCCCGCCCGCGGAGATTTACCATCCTGACAAGGCTTTGATGTCACTGATAGAAACAGAGTTCTTATACAGAGGCCGCGCATTATATTTATTCCTTTGTAGACGTTATCTCTGAATTGGTACCATCCTGCCATCGACGATAGTTGAAGATTCTGGCTGGGAAAACAAAATCCTGATTGTCTAACATAAAGGTAACATATAACACAGAAGGTAAATAATATAAGAGAGCCTGACTGAACCTCCTTTGTTAGTATGTATGGGATTTTAGGTCACAGTGCATGTGCATGTATAAGTAATAGTCATATATAATATTCTCAGATATTATATGCTTATTACATACATGCACAGTGCTTTCCAAGACAGCTACAAATTTACACATGCATCAGCTATCTAAAAACATAGAAATAGGTAAGCCTATTAAGTGGAATTTTCTTAAATTATATTTGAACAATTAACAGGAAAAGTAATCATGTAAAGTACCGCTCTGTTCTTGTACGTATCTACAATAAAATTCTATAAACAGTTGTCTCCCAAAACATACCTGAATAAAATAAAATTAAAAAAAAAAAAGATAACATCCAGTGTCCTATATTTGTATATTTATGGTCATTTCAAAAACAAACAAATAAAAGAGCCCCACTCAGGTGCGTATTTACATTCTTCAAACTGTAGCGGTGAAAAATAATTCTATTAAGTGCAGGACATTCCTAATGTTGCAGTAGTGACATTTTTCTTAAGTCTTCATGAACACATTGCTTTTGTCTTAATGGTGACGCATTCCACGACTAGGAGACAGTTCTCTCGTTGCCTTCATTTGCAGACGGTGGCACAGTCAGGATTAAAGAGCTCCTTGTACAATGGAGGAAAGAGTGTATTCACTATGTCTGGGTGTGATTGTTTAAATACCTGCAGCTTCTCCCCGTGCAAGTTGCAGACCGCCGTGATGGTTGGTATCTTGGCTATTAACTGCGGAGTCGGGAGACCAGGGTCGGGTGTTGTGGGGGGGGGGGGGGGGACGGGGAGTAGGGAGGTGGGGAGAAACAAAGGGGGAAGCTCATTAGTGCTCTGGCTTCTGAATCAGGGTCCTTCCTGGCCTGGGATGAAGGAAAATGGTTTTGGGAAAAGACGTTCACAAAGAAAGAAGGCTCACTTTCAGCTTCTCCTTCCCAACAAAACAAAACAAAACGCACCTCCTACCCCCCTCGGGAAAATAGAGAAGGCAAGCCAGCGGGGCCAAGCTTCCTGAGTCACCGCTCTTAAATAAAATGTGTATGGGAGGTAGTCGAGTTTAATCGATACGAGTGGGTGCTTTGCAGCCAGGCTGACTGAGTCAGAATCCTGGTTCCAAAATAGCCAAATGGCTGTTTGGCTGTGAAATACTCGGTCTCAGCTTTCTTATTTGTAAAATGGGCCTACTCATATTGTTGTGTGCACTGAGGTAATTCATATAAAAGTGGTAAGAACACTATAGGTGTGAAACGCAATTGGGAGCTAATATTATCTATTATTTCCCAAAGATTTTTATGCTATGAACACGAGATTCTCGGTTTTGGAAGGCGACGTTGTTAGGAAAGGTAGGACCTAAACTGTACGAGGCGTGATCCATAACTGTCAGGACTAGCCTGCCTGAATCTTTCTAGTTCTTTCCCACTGTAATGCATAGAATGAAACGTATATTTAATCAAGAGAGAATTTCAGAGGTCACTGGCACTTGCTTCCTTGAGGCATTTAAAAAACTCGTGGGGGAATATCCACTTATCATTGGTAGGTTTTATTGCATATGTATCATGCAGGACGTGATTTTATTTTATTTTTTTTGAGTTCAAATACCCAGAAGACATTTTAAAATGTCCACGGTTTGCAAAATGCTATAACGTTCTTAGAAGATGAACAGCTCTAGCTTTTCACATATTTATAATTTAGGAACATGTAGAATTCATCATTTCATGTCAAAATTAGCTTAAAACCAAGCATCATTGTGATCAAATTACTGTTGGAATCAGATGTGTTCTCATATAGAGAACACTCTCAGAAAAGATAAGCCTGATAGTTTATATAGCTGACCATAGGAACACTTGAAAGTGACAATAAAAATAAAATGAAATAAACCCCATCTAGTCATCAGTTAGGCTCATTGTGCCCCCTCCCCTATTTGGTAATAAGAAGCAATTTTCAGCCTTTGGAGTAAAAGAGCAAATAGATAATTAGTTACTTTGTGGCTCTTCAAAATCAGAAATTTCCACATTCATTAACTTTCCTTTTAACAACTCATGACTATGTAACCACACTATGAGCAATTCAAAATACCATAAGGATTAAAGCTGTTGACATATTCTTAAAGGGATCTAGAACACATAAAGAAATTTGGGGTGCGGACTTTCCATTTCCAGGGCTATTTAACGATAGGGGTAGCAAGAAGAAATGTGAAATCTTTGTTTATGGAATGGATGTTAAGTTTTAGACTGAGAATCCAGACTTTCTTTCCAACATTATGAGTTACTTAAACTCATAGCAGGCACTCTGCTAGCTGCCAAAATGCTCAAGACAGTACGGTTCTCTGCTTACAGCCACCTTGTGAAGACAGATGTGAGTAATGTTGCCACACACTCGAAAGCAGACTGAAAACCTGCGGTGGGTGCCATGCAGGAATGATCTAGAAGTGGTAGGTAATAGGACGTTCTGACTTCTTCTGTCAGGCCAGGGAAGGCCTCCCCGAGAAAGGGCCATTTAAGCTGAGCTCTGAAGTAAAAGCAAGAGCCAAACAGATGTTGGGGTCCATGATATGCCGCAGGGCCAGGCATAAAGATGGCGTCGTGCTTAGCGCACTGGAAGAATTGAGCAGGATGGGTGAGCAGGTCTGAGGGAAAAGCTGGAGAGATGGACGTGACCAGAATCCGCAAGTCTATGTTAAGACGCTTCGGAAGGGTTTCGGGCAAGCAAGAAAGATGGTAAGAATCACACGATCAAAGAGTCACTTTGGTTCCGGGGTGGAAAATGGTGTCTTTTCCGTATTTTCACAGGTAAAGATTATCCCGGTGTCCACATAGCTAAAGTCCCTTGGGAAATCATCCAAGCTCTCTCAACCAACTGGTTCACACAGACGGAGACTACAATTTGGAACACTTCTTATACATGACGGTCTCCCTGAAATAGCTATTGAATGCAGGGAGGTTTTGAAAGCTTTCTATAATCACCTGCAGTTGAACTGATGCTATGCAGAGCTCCTGAAACTTCCAGATGTGATTCTATAATGACTGCCAACCTTTACTCTGCATAAGAATCACTGGGGTGCTTCCTAAAAATGCAGATTCCTGGGATCTACCCCTAGGGACTCTATTTCAGTAAGTCTGGGTGGAGCTGAGACTCCACGTTTGAAACAAACATCTCCTGGGATACTGATGGACTCGGGCCATGGAATGGACATTAAAAGACACTATTATAGGGGCTTCTGGGGGACTCAGTCGGTTAAGCATCTGACTCTTGGTTTTGGCTCGGGTCATGATCTCACAGTTTCGTGAGTTCGAGCCCCGTGTGGGGCTCTGCTGGCAGCACGGGACCTGCTTGGGATTCTCTCTCTCCCTCCCTCTTTGCCCCTCCCCCACTTGCACTGTCTCTCTCAAAATAAATACACTTAAAAAAAAAAAACTACTACAGAGGTTCAAATCATATAAATTTACAACTAATTTTCAAAATTGAAAAGTAAATTCTGTATCAAACTTGAAACAGTCCTGGGAGCCAAATGGAAAGTCAGCTCCTTTTCAGGAGGCAGAGACAGAATCATCATTCCCAGAGAAGGGAGGTTCCATTTGCTTAGCTCTATTAGTTTGCTGGGGGGACCGGTAATGGGATTCCCTGAGTTCCCTATGACACACAAATACAACATAGAGAAGATTAGCCTAGTGATAAAACAAAAACAAAAACAAAAACAAAAACAAAAGCTATGGGTTAGAAAGCCCAACTGTTGGGTTTGAATCGCGGACCTGCTATTTACAGCTGTGTGATCTTGGGCAAGTCAGTTAACTGCTCAGCTTCCTTATCCATCAGACGGTCCCTACCTCAGAGGATTGTTGTCAGGGTTACCTGGGTCAATCCAAACTGTCTATAGCGGTGCCTGGCACATGGTGGCCATATACGTGTTAGGTGTTATGCTTCCGTTTCCACATAATGTTTCCTTCAAAGAGAGGAATAGTCAAGGCTATGCTCGATCAGGGGGCAAGAACCCAACATAACCCTTAACTGAGCACCGAAAATGGAGTCACGTGTTAATGTATGGGGAAATCAGCCATTTACTTTTGTTGAAATGAAAAAGCAACATCATATGGATGATCATTTTTTTGGAGCAATTAAAGTAACTTGCTGATCTAATAAACTGTGATGTATAAAGTAGAAGCCTATAGAATTCTTTTTTTTTTAAATTTAATTAATTTTTTAAATTTACATCCAAGTTAGTTAGCACATAGTGCAACAATGATTTCAGGAGTAGATTCCTTAATGCCCCTTACCCATTTAGCCCATCCCCCTTCCCACAATCCCTCCAGTAACCCTCTGTAGCATCCTATATCATTCTTAAAACTTTTTTTTTTCCTTTAGTGAAGGGGAGATATGAGAAATTAGATGCATAAGAGGATGACCCTTCTGTAGTTGCTCATTTGCACTGGTAATATTTAGCTGTGTGTTCGGCTTTGGAAAGTGAATATGGACTCTTGCTTCCTTCCTGCTCCAAACTGGGGTTTAAGAAACGTCTGGTTCGGGTCCTAGTTCTTCCGTCTTTTATGGGATTTGGATCTTACCCTGCTGCTCATCTGTATAACGGGCCGGGATGGTGAGGATAACTTTTTCTTAAGGGCAATGGGGCTGCTTGAGCAAAGAGCACCCTAACCTGCGTGCTCTTGGAAGAGGCTGTTTTAGAAGCCTCCAGTCAGCTGTGGAAATAGAAGTTCTGACAGACAGGGGCATCCATCACTCCGGAGGCGGGAAGGGCCAGGAGGCCATGTGGACACAGCAGCAGCGCTTGTCAGAGCCCAGAAGGGCCTGGTGGAGGAAGCAGCAGGCAGTCACTTACTTGCTCATTAATATTATGTACCGCAGCTGGGGGACCCCCATTTCAAAGGGAGTTTAGAGCAGCCTCCGCAGCAGTTAATGGCTCAACAACTTTTTAAACAGCTGGGGAGGTGATCCAGAAGCATTTGGAGATGGAGGGGGTAGTCGATTTCAAATCATCATGAAATGTCTTCATGTTTAAATAATCCCCATAGCAGGAGTAGACAGAGGGTCTAGAAAAAGGCATTTTCCCCCTCCTCTTTCTCTTATGACCAAGCGTTTCCTATAAGATAAGGAAGCTTTAGCTTATACCTACAGGGGTTGACCAGAAGAAAAAGCGGCTGTTGGAGAAGGGCTAATAATCCTATGCTTCTTTCTAGGGAGTGGTTTTATGAGAAAATCCACAATTCTATAACTAGTACATTCGATATGGAAAATGGAACATGCAGAGGGTAAAACTAGTGATTTTGTTCATACGGGCTTCCCGGCCATTGCAATGCCCTCCAACCTGAAGCAGGAAGCCAACGATGGTTTCACCAAAGTGGAAGAAACTTCAAAATCACTGATAAACACAGGGCACATCAAGTGAGGCTAACTATATCCATTTCACTTGCTCACTCGCTTTTCTATATTTTTTATTTTGCTATTTCCTTATTTCTTTATGTTTAGCTAGACCTAGACATGTGGATTAGAATTGGAATATCGGATTTGAAATATTCATCAGGTCATAAGCCTTCCCTGCCCCTCCTCACCCCATCCTTGGCATCCATGTGGAGCTGGCCAACTAAAGTGGTAGTGGACATTGATTCATCTGCGGTCGAAATCTGGAATTGGACCGAGAGCCAGCAGCTTACTTTCTAAATGTAGCAGAAACTTCCAGTAAGTGAAGAAGCTGAGAGCTAGCTGTATTTCACTACGCGGACCAG